CATTTCTAGAGCCTGAGAAAAAAGGACAGATTAGAATTAATTTAAATAAGAATTGCATTTCATTTTAAATTTTTTTAATATTTTTGTCATGTCTTAACAATGAACTAATATGTTAAAAAATATATATCTTAATATATTTTGACTAGAGTGTGATGTAACAGGTCTCAGAAATCTATGTATGAAATGTGATCCACATTGCACTAAAGGACAAGAAGGGACAAGACGGTCTATATAAGATCTCAAGGGTGACTAGGTAGGAGTAAAAAACAAAAGTAAGAATAGTCTTCAACAAAACAGAAAAAGGTTTCAAGCAACCTGAAGAAGCATTTTAATGCCAAAAAATCTGAATGTACAACGACAGAAGTGAAAGATCATAAGATCCCACCGGTAGTGAGTAGGACACGAGATTCATAATTACACTTTTGCCACAATCATGCAAAGTATCTGCAGCAGAAGGACAGTGGATTGAGGGAATGGTATTTGGTAAGTAGCTCAGGCTACTTTGTGAGCTGAAAGAAAGATGGATGAATTCAAATATTCTGAAACCCAATGTTATCAGCCTGAATAGTTAATGTGCATTTCAACCAGGCAGCAACCTGAAACATGCAGCTGGGAAAACTAGACTAACTTCAGGAAACACAGTCAAATAGTGCAGTGATCCAGTCAGAGTGTGGTTCTGAACCCAGAAGAACACAGCTAAAGGAAGCCTGAACGCTTGAAGCTGTCACTGATGCAATGAGTAGAAAAGACAGAAAGGCACCTATGGTCCTTCAACCAAGCACTGTTTGAAAGGCTGTATTTCAGGATTCTGAATCATGGCATTGAATTTAAATAAAATAAAAACTAGTTAGATATGAAATAGTTCCACCTTAACTATGGCTTTCTCTTCAGCTTCCTGGGGAAGGAGCCATATTCCTCAAAAAGACTATATTAATTACAGAGAGAGAGAGGATTGACAGATAGTGTCTCGGTCATGGAGCTCTGCCTTTCTGCAACCAGATCATCACCTCTGTCAAAGCTCCTGACAGTCCTCCTCTTTCATTTCAGTTCAATATTTTCATTCTTCTCAATATAACTTATTTCTTTCCTCTGTAATAACCCAGCATTTGAAATTAAAATATGGCTTTAAAAAAATATTTAAAAAAAAAAGTAGAATTATCAGGAGACAATGTTTTTCCTCTAAATAAAAGAGGGACTTCATCTTAGGAGGATTGATTTTCTTTCCCAAATGAGACCCTTTAATACAAAATTTCCTTGCATGTTATTCAACACTGGATTTCTTATAAAAAATAAAATTCTGTAAAATCAACTGAAGTGGGAGTTATTTTCTTTTGCAACCCAAATAAAATGTTTCACCTGTTACATATTTCCCGGATCAGCTGATTAGGGATTGTATTGACTCTCAATCGCATGTGTTGTCTCAGCTTGACACTTCCTCCCACTCGTGGTAGGTGGTACAACGGCTGTTGTGGAAGCAGGAGCCATTTCAAAGATGGCCAAAAACAGATCCATTTCCCAAAGCTTCTAAAAAGAGATCCTGCTGGTAGACTGACTCTGACACCACAGCGTCGTTACCGTCTTAGTATGTTAGTGATACAGGATCAGAAACTCCACGGTGCCGAGAAGACAAGAAACGACTGCACAAAGAAATAGCCACCATCCTGCAGTTTGTGAGTGAGCAGCAATGAAAAGATTCCCAGCTTCTAGCCTGAATCTGCTCAGGTTAATTGTGGGATTAGAGGAGCAGGAAAAAAAAAGAAAAAAAATACACATATATATATTTTCCCAACTGTCTGAAGAATCATGTAACCGTCAGTTTATGCAGTCACCGACAGTGTTGGTGTTTTTGTCTGTGTAAACACAACTGGATTTACTTAATGCTACCCCATATGGCAAGCAATATGACAAAAGCAGACAAAACATACAGTGTTTATTAGAGTCTATCTCATATTTCAATTGAGGCTGCTATATGCACAGATAACAGAACGGAAGTCCGTAAGAGTGTGATTTTCAAGAAAGAAAAGCGCATCATGCATGAAACAAAGCCATCAGCATCTCAGAAAAAAAAAAGTTGTTGGTTCCTATCAGGTTGAAAAGGGTAACAAAATCATTAATAAAAAGTTTGGACTCAAAGGCCTGTGTACAAATTTGAGAAACTTTTCCTTCTCCGGGAAAGGTAGAGAGGGTGGGGCGTGAAAGGAAGATCACTTGAAGAACAAAGACTGTTTTTGATACCGCAAAGGAACAAAGGGTACCTGGTAAGCAAGTGAGAGCCTCTCTGGCTGGGTTTCATTTGAATGTTAATCAGGAGAATGGAGAACAACAATGGTGTGCATTACTGGCCAGTAATGAGAAAGCTGTTCCTCTCCAAAAACGAAAACCGACGACTCTGCACATTTACAGAGTCGCAGGCACAAACAAGAAATTTATTCTGGAAGATTATAGCCAAAAAGTATTTTTTCATGAGCCGTTTTGCTTCAACAAGTATGAAACAACTCATTTTGAATAGAACTGCAACATTTGGCACAAAAGATCACTCCACGGTTTGAATCTGAAGAGAAAGTGGTCACGCTGAAAGACGATAACCCTGAGGTGACAAGTTGATCTTTTAAAGAATATTCAAAGTGAAACTGAGTTCTGCACTGGGCCAATCAAAGCCCTGACCTTATTCCCTGAGAAACATCATGAATGGACTTTAGCAAGCAGTTATAGTGAGGAAACACATCCCAGAGCTGTTCTTACATTTCTGTGCGGTAAAGATCGAAATTGATGAGTGAAACAGAAGGAAATGCTCTGTTTCTGGTTTCTGGAGTGATGGCTCAGAAAGTCTTCGGTACAAAGCTCTGCTGTGTGGACCGAGTCCTCTAGAATCTACACATTATATTATTGGTGCTTCTGTTGTAAATGTTCTTATGAATAACTGTCAACATGACTTCAGTTATTAAACTATAAAAACTTGAAAACAAATATTGTCCAAAACTACCTACCACTTCACATTAATCAGTAACTCCACTGGCTATTCAAAGCAGCTGATTCATTTAGACAATGCTAAGATAATTTGCTAAAAGGTGTAAAATACAACTCAGTATTTCTAGAGTTATGCTCCCACTTCCAACACAAGTATTTCAAACACATAATATCTTGGCTTTAATATCTGCAGTGACTCTCCTTCTGCTGTCTTTATTGTATTTTCTGCCTGTGCCTCAATGCACTTTCAGCACTGTTTGATGTAAAAGTTATTCATGAAAACCAAGTCAATAATAGATATCTATAACATTTTGGCGGTATTAAGTCGTCCTGCCACAGGTCTAGGCTGAGACCACTTCTCTTAGGTAGCTACTGAAAAGCTTTGATTTTTCCCCCAAAAGTTATAAAACTTATAAATCCAATAAAAAATGTCTTCAAAGCTTAAATAATAAATCAAACTTAGCCACAAATAACATTCATGTTGTCACCATGGTCACAGAATGCACAACATACTTTAAAAAGAGAAGTTACAAAAACTATTTTTGCATATATAGACAATCTATTTTTCATTCTAAAAAAAAAAATTAAAAACAAGGAACCGGACACAAGCAGACCTGATCATTGTATGTACGACTTCACTCAGTCAAAAGTTCAAGTTGCTGAACTGGGAAGGAACACACATGGGCCAAAACAATAACGGCACCGACAGGTGAAATGAAGAACATTGATTATTTCGTTAAACTGCAATATTCTGCAGAGGATCTTTGTACACTGGCGTGTACCACCCACCTAAGCATTGTTGCAGACCAAGCACATTTCCAACTGAAATTAATCTCCCAGGTATGACAACGTGCCCTGGCTAAACAAGCAAGCTTCTTTACAACAGCTTAGCAAACGCATACAAAATGAATATACAATCCAGAAAGGTCGAAGCATGGTACCCACCGGACCTAAAGACTGACAACGTCCCACTGTCAGATACCAAAGGACCCAACAGAGGTCCTGTTGTTCAGCCCGAATGGCTCTGAGCCGTTATGGCAGAATGCGTGGAAGTATCAATATTCAAATAATCTAAAGTAATCTCTCAGGACATTGTAATAAAGGCTTGATCACATCTGGATTCTGATCAATAACTGTGCATCTATGGAAATTAAATGAAAATATTACTGAAAATTAGCGGGTAAATGTTGGCAGCTATGAGAGCTGAAAGAACGGCAGATTTTGACAGAGATTAGATTTTATTAGTCATGATCAAGTATAGAAGACAGATGATGCTACATTCACCAACAACAATTCAACTATAAAGCTAGCTTTTATAGAGTAATCAGTGACCTCACGGATCGTTCTGACGCCCACTCGCTTTAGTGTGAGCCCCCCCCCCCCCCACCTCTGCATGGGTTATGATCAGTACTTTGAAATATGCATTTCTTGGTGGGACAATTTCCAGTTCCATATTCAGACACAAACCTTTAGAGCTCTAAGATCATACAGTAAACATCACAGGCTTCGCTGTTTCTTTTGAAGTCCAGCTTATGATGTATGTGCTCAGTGACATTCATTATGGTGCAGACAGATGAACTGAGAAGTCAGAGAGTAGAAATACATCCACCGTATGATACTTTAAGCACATCTGTATTTTAAAGCTGTTTATTGCTTTGCAGTATATCAACCAGTGCAAGGGCAAAAGGACCTAAACTCAGGCATTAGTCAGAACAATAAATTAGCATAATGAAGCGCACTGGGGCGATGTATATGAACAGGTTTTTGTTTTCATGGCTGATGGGTTGTAATAAGCGTTGGCATGGGGACTGCAACAGGCTACATTTTGCATGAGAACATGGCTGTTCTTGGTATAATTTGCTTTAATGAATAATGATAAAGATTACCAAACAGTGTTTTTTGAGTGACCTGGTTGAACCTTCTGTTTTATTTGTTGTTCTATATATTCAACCAATGGAAAAAATCTTTGATTATGTGTTATGAAAGGTTGGCAACTCTCTAATTTCAATCATTTTAGAGGAAATGACACTTACCCTCAGGGGCCTCTGCATCACATATCCTTGTGGTACCAAAAGTAGTATTTCCAGATGAAGATCCAGGTGAAGGCTTCTGATTCTGGAGAGGAAGAAAACACACACAAATGTCATTTGAGGAAAAACTAGAATAAAATCTACTGTTTAAAAGAGAACAATTTTGGCCAAAATAACTTAATGTTGAAACACATTTTCACATTCACATTTACAACCTAACTGCAACTTCATAAAATATAAAAACAACAACAACAACAAATCACATCTAAAGCATTAACGACTCATCTGGCAACAGGTCAGTTCATTGGCTGATTATAAGAAGAGAAGCTGAGTTTTTCATGTGTATATAAGGTGACGTATTCAGTAAGTGAATTTAAACTTCAGTCAAAGAATAATGTTTCTCCACATTTTTAAAACACATACAAGATTTCCCCTATTTTAAACCATTGTTAGAATATTGTTAAAAGATTCATAAAGTATTGTTAAAAGATTTATACACTTGGCAGAAAGATTAAACTCAGCACAAAATGTCTATGATCTTAAACTGCATTAAAAAGCAAGGAATAGTTTCTGTAAAAACCTCTGAATGGATTAAAAACAATCTGAAAAATAAAAAAACTCAACAACAGCAAGAACAACAACCAGTTCGTAAATTAGAAATACATTACGGTAAGTTAAATCTCTTTAACTAATTTAAGGGTCTGATAAATAAGTTAAAGCTTCTACCATAATTGATTTCAATTAAAAAGACTAAACATTTTGGAGAGTTTAGTAGTAATAGATCTTAAAATACTTTAGCGAAATAAACACAAAGCATTTTTCCAAACAAAATTGTGAAGTGTGAAAAATGGCGTTCTCTGGATTTGACAAAATGAGGGTGTCAGTTTTCTTGGCATTTCTCTTCTCAACCCTGTATTTGCATAACGCACATTTTAAGGAAGCCAAGTGCAGTTAATGCAATCTGTCTGCTGCATTAGGTCTGTACATTATATCGTTAAGGGAAAAATTGCAATAAACAATGTCTGCCTTGTGAGTCATACGGAGCAAGTTTTAAAATGATTTTTTCTTTCTCTCTCATTTAAGGATGTTTGAGCAAAACAACACCATGATTTATTCAAATTATCCTGCTCAGAAGAAATAATTTTTTTAGACAGAGCATGCACAAAAAGATGCATTAAAACCAAATTCATACACCCACACACAGAGAGCACAGCTACAACAGATCACAAAAAGGCTACACTGTCAAAAAAAACACAGCAAAGGCAAGAACGTCTGACAGATTTCTAAAAAACAAGAGTCTAAAAGCCTTACTGTTTGTCTGTAGAGACATCACTTTAACCTAAACCAAGTTGGACCGAAAGTGGTTTAAACCCATTGACTAAATGAAGATTCCTTCGTCAGAAACCTAGCTTAAGAGCTTGCTCTCTGAGTAAAACAATAAAAATAGAAAATGCACAAGATGTACACAGAAAATACATGACTTTTTCCTCACCTGCACAAGATATTTCTGGCTGCCGTACATAACATACTGAGGGGCCAGACTGTAGATCATGTAGCTGGTGTGTAGAACAATCAAGAGAAGAATCATGCAGAGGAAGAGAAGAGCCTGGGGACGTGTTCGCTTGGGCCTTATTTTATACAGCTGCAAAATGAGATCACATAAACGTGCTATTAACTGAGAATATTCCAATATTTAAGATGTCAACCAGAAATTGGCCATTTTCTCACTCTTATCCAGAAGAACCAGATGCCCATGTTGCGGATGCCAGCCATGGATGTGAGGACAAAATACATGGTGATAACAGTGATCAGCATGTAGTCCAGAGGAAAAACCTGCAACACGAGACACAGAGGTCAGTTTTACCTTGATCATAACTTTAGTTCTAATCATTCATGATGGGTACATTTCAAAAGTCAGTGATATCAACTTAATGGTATAATTAATGATATTTGATTCAGCCCCAACTATTTCAAGGCATATCTGAGCTTGTCAGTGTGCACAAAAAGACTAAATAGCAACAATTATTGTGTTCTGAAACCTATAAGGTTCAGACTTAACCTACATTCTGGTTCCTGCGAATTAAGCGCTAATCTTTTGATGTGAAGCATTTAATTTCTTAAACGCCGTGGCCATACTTCTAAGCACCAGTCTTAGACATTTAATCAATGCCAATATCTGTGAAGCTATTCTGTATTGGTCAGAGCCGTTTGTCATTTCTTCTTCAAAACCTGCTGCAGAATACCAAGTTCAATAGAGCAACTTCTATTCTTATTGCCTGAGACTGAAGAGAAGAAACGTGTAAAAAAATCTACTTTGTAAAACTTTATTTCAACCAATTTTTTTCGGACCTAATTTACAGTTCAGTCAAATGTGTGTAGCATGTTTCATCCTTCAAATGTACTTCTTTAAATGTGTGGCTTGCACATGAAAAAATCATAATGACAGAAAAATTCTGTATTCTGTTGTAAAACTCAGACTAGAATAAAAACATTTTTAAAAATTGATTAGTTTATTCTATTTTCACTGTGCATCCGTTTGTCTTTACTTATTGGATTCAAATATTAATCTATTGTATAAATGTGAATAACCACCAAGTGAAATCTAAGCCAGGTCTTTGACTGTTTGAGAGTATAAATCTCAGTCTAAAAATTAGTTTCACAGTTGAGCTGCAGCATGGTGACACACAAACATACAATTTTGAAACATAGCACTTGTCCATTTAAGAATAGCCTGCATTAAAGCTTATAAATTAGGCCTCATTTAGGATAATGATGATGGAGACAGGTAATACGGCTTTAAACATATTTTAATAGAGGATAATTATCGCTTCAAAATTCAGAGACAAGAGGATACTCACAGGTTGTAAGGCTAAGAGTAGTTCATTTAGAGGATTGGTTAAGTTGGTGCCAAAGATTATGAACCCGGAACTGATGCCAGCAGAGTGGAGTGCCTTATCCAAACTGAAAAGCATTGAAAATATAATGTTTATTCACCCAGTGCATCACAACATGAATATGACACAAAAATAACATCTTCAGGCTTATGTTTTGTACAACAAATCATAACTTCTTACTTTGAAATGAACAGGGCAACAGTGAACAGCAGTGCAACCAGGATGAAGAAAATGCCCAGTATTACCTGCAAATAATAAATACACAAATCAAGCATCAAAATCCCCTCACCAAAACCCATCAACCCACACAGCACACAACCAAGATGGATGTGCACTCTGTGGGATCCTCTGTGAACCCCAGGCACAATTTTCCAAATGTAGCAACCTTGTCTGCAAATACAACCTTTCTGTCAAGTCTTTTGTCAGGGAGAGACCATATGGCATGGAGAGCTCAGTTTGGCACAGTTGCCTAAGGTGACAGGGGGAAGCAATGGCACAGCCCAGACAGAGTTGGGACTTGAAACCAGGGAAGCAAGAGGTGGGTGGCAGCCAAGAAGCCAATAAATCATAACAACTGTCGGCCTTAAAAGGGGACATAAAAGCTAAAATGTCTCGTATTCACCTGGGCCAGAGAAACCTATGAAAAATATAATCACTAAAATATTTGAGGTGAATTAAAATGTGACTTAATGAATGGATGAGAGAATGAATGAACAAAGAGACTAATCTAAACCAAGAGGTTTGAGTAGATTTTCATTCTGAGTACACAAAAGAATATATAGGGTATTTTCATTGTGTGAAAGTGTCAATTACAGCCAGGAAACTGATTGAAAGATCACAATCCTTGTCAATATTCATCAATGGCCTGGACACCACAACTCAAAACTTATGGATAGGATAACAAAAGATATAGAAGACAGCAGTGATCCTGATATACTCACACATTTTGGTTGGACTGAGAGACAAGACTGTCTAGCTTTGCCAATCAGGCAAAACAGTGTTAAAAAGAGGAAAAGGAAACTATTTATTTGAAATATGTAAATGAACTGGTGGTGTAATTTACAAAAGGGAATCCCCCCCCAAAAGCACAGTGGCCTTCAAATTTAAACCCAGTGTCACGTTCAGAAAGTCATTATTGCTCAACACTACTGTTAAAATGAAAAGAACAGCGTGCGCCTGAGAGACAGTGGTGCCATGAAATCCCAATCATTTTGTTTATTTCTCTCCACCCTTGTGTTGGCATACAGTGAATTCATTTCCCAACTCATTACTGGTTGAATTGGAGTCGAGGTCCTGTCATTAGTAGCCACCCCCTTGTTTAAAGACCAACCGTTACAGAAACTGGTTTGAAATGTTTGTGCTGGCCTGCAGCGCACTTAAGTGCTGGAAAATGAAGAGCAAAGGGAAGGAAACAAGTGAACTGCACAAAGATGTGGAAACATGTCCTGGCCCTAGAACAGAGAGGAAATTAAAACAGCGGGGCTTATTTAACCTATGCACTGTCACAAAGTAGCCACAGAAAAAAAGAGTTTGCCTTTATGCATTTGATTAGCTAGCGTCCATCTATGCACTCCGTTGAGCGTGAGGTGTATGATGGTAGCCACATAGAGGACATATATTGCACAGGAGTGTTTTGCAATGAATTATCACAGTTACAATTAGGCCAGCCATATCAGTTTTAATAAATTAGAGTATTAAGCAAGCGATAAGAAAAATAATTATACTGGATTTAAGGTAAACATGAAATAAGTACATCAGAATATTTTGCTAAAAGCCTCTTCGTGGAGGAAGCCTTTTGTAACACATTTTCTTAAAGCTTTTTTTTTTTTAAATGAGGCTGCGAGGGGAAAAAAAACAACTAAAATAACCATTTGACCTTACAAGACAAAGAATTATACTTTCCCTGTCTTAGAATAAAAATAAATAAATAAAAAAGAGAAAGAAGAAAAACTGAAATCAATAATTTCACCAAGCTCATTTAGGAACGATCTTTGACCATCTGTAAAGTAATCTATTGATGTTATTCAAGTCATTTCTAGCACTTTTCAGCTCCACTGCATTCTAATGTAAAATGGTATCATTCTTTTCCTCTTGGCGGCTCCTTTTTCAGGTTTGAGGTTATTCTATCCTACAAAAACAAAGCAGTTATTTGCTGATACTGTTCAACATTAACTTTAAAATAAAAGTCACCTGTCTGGCATTAACTGCTGTTGGTAATCTTGTCATTGGGTAGAAAGTGCCCAAAAGCAATTTTACATTAAAGGACACACGCTGTGAATCTGGGTGAATGGCATCTGAAAGAGTGCTGAAAACATGTGGCTGAACCTGGTGCACTCAGGTTTTTGTACCAACATGTCCACAGAATTAAATACTTTTTCCTCTTTCAGGGCTGGTGTGAAAACGCCACTCCTGTCTGATCTGTGAGCCGTGCCATTAAGACTGCAAATATGAGCTATAGAAGTTTGTATCCTCCCTGGGCGGGAGGGAATGAGAGAAATTACATAAAATCAGACTTGTTTCTCTCCCTTGACAGCCACGACATCCTGTCTCAGAAACAACTTCATGAGAGACCTGAGACAAAACTAGGTGAACACACAACGGAAGGGAATCATGTGAATATGAGGGAATATAAAGCGGAAGAGAATGTACATCTAAGATGGTTGAAAACAGAACTTTAGCAACACAGAGCAGTATAAGATATCTAACAATAAATATGATGAAAACAAAGAAAACTTCACTATTTTTAAAAGATAAAACTATTAACAGAGCAATCATGAAAATACCAACGATTCAGACACCAATTCAATTACGGTAAGTTTTTGCAAAAGACAAAAAAAACAAACAAAGATATAAAGCAGAAAATCATAATTGTTTGCCTTTCTACAGAACACTGACCACGTTGAAAAAACAATTTACTTCTGGGAATTGGAGCCAATTCCATAATGGAAACTCACCTTGAAAGGTCTGAGTGCACTGCCAACTTTTGTGCAGCAGTTCCTCTCTGCAATTTCCAGGTGTCTTCCTCTGCGTCGGAGGACCTGTAGTTTACCCTCCAGTTCCTGCAGGTTGTTTCTGTCCCTTGAGGACAGAGGACGTCCATCTTTACACTGGTTAAAAAACAAAACAAATACACTGGTAAGCGCTGGTCCATGTTGCATGTTTACTGTTTTTTCTATTAATTTCTGCCATAAAAAAGCTGAAAGCTCTGTTTGGGGTATTTAGGGTATAATGCACAGTAATGGAAAAGTATGCTAATTGACTTTCTCAGTGACAGCCTAAACTACCCATTAAAAGAAAACTTGACATTTAATTCAAAACAGTTTTTACAGTTTTTTATGCCATGATAGATGAAGCATAAAAGCATTGTGGTCACTGTGGAGATTAATTAGAATTGATCTGGCAGTGCATAATAAGCATCAAAGAATAATACATAAATGAAAAAATTGTAAATTGTAATATGTTTAAGATGGTTGGAGGATAGGAATTAAGCTAGAAAAAAATTAACATTACATTTTTCACAAAGTGCCAACACTTTGTAACCACACAGAGAGCTAAACCTGTATTTCTGTAAAAACAGTCAATGCACCAGACAAAGCAGGACAGACACTGTTCCTTGGTGTTCCCACTGACAACTAACAAGTGTCTTTTCTTTCATTTTCCTGTTTCGGTTACCTGCGTTTAAAATGTTGGTAGACAAAGACAATACTAATCTTATGTAACAGCTTGGATAAACAAAGAACCATGGAAATAAATAAATAAATAGGAGGAAGTAATTACGCAGAAGGTATGCATGTGGAGCTTTCAATTAACGCTTTAACGTGTAATTTGTGCAGCTATTGAAATGTAAGGCACACAACAAACAACTGATTTATACCTGAGGTTTTGATTTATGTGCATTTATTATACACAGAACTGTGTCTGGTTGGACTTCCTGTGAGGGTTATTTTCATGTTTGTGTGTTGCAAATGCTTTATGTTGTGTGGCGACTAACCTTGGATTTCAGCTTTTCTATCTGATGCTCGACATCGTCAATGTCCTCCGTGTTCTCCAGGCGCTCATACTGAACACTACGTGTGCCTTTTATCAGATTCAAAGGCATAACAGACATGCCGTATGCCTGAAAGACAGAGCAAAACTACCATTATGATCCCACATTATTGTCAGAGCAGGGTGGCACATATGGCACGTGTACCCACCCACACAGACTCACTCCTGCCTGATGGCAGTCCCGCCACAATGAGAAGCATGACAACAGTCAAATGAGGGTAAGCAAACACACTCTATCAAATACACACACACACACAGAAAATCATATAGTCCCCGGCCTCCAAGGCTATGCCATTTTTGGTAGAGGGGGAAAAAAAGGCTGAAATGGTGGAATCTATAATTGTGGTGAGGTTTATTGAAGAGTTTGCTGCAACCATTTTGTGCAGATATCACTGACTTATATCACCCTGATGCATTTACAGCTTAACAGTGCCCCCATGTGATAGCAGTATCATCTATCCAGGACTCCAACATTTAAACTACATGTCATTTTAGAAAGAAAATCTGAAATATAGGTATGAGCAATGAAGGCACCCTCAGTTTTGTAAATCGAAGTTCTAAATGAGAAATAGTTACAATTGTTATTCTTTTTTGTTTTTTTCGTTAGCGGCAGACTGAGTATAAATAACAAGAAGCAATGACAGACAGGTACAGACACGGACGGCAAAATGAAGAAAATTCAAAGGACACATTGAGCTCACTGGTCTTCAATCACCTCAAAGGATGTTTTCAACATTTCTTACTTAGGAAGGGCATTTTTAATAAGCACTAACAGGCTGATCAATAAAAAAAGAGAGTAAAAAAAAAAACAGGCTTATGCTTTGTGCTGTGTCATTTTTATAAACTTGTGGGCGGGCCATTTTACGGGTACATCATAAAACAAAGGGGGTTGAATGCACAGATACCTTCAGTCACACCATGCTACACCCTCTCCGCCCCCTCAGATGGGGAAACATCAGTCTGGACCTTTTTCTTTAAAACAACTTTTACTAGTTTTTCAGTGTTACGTAGCCTTAAGAGAGCCACATGGGATACTAAGTCAGGCTGCACTATTATTAGTCTCAGCTGAGGATCTCTGCTATGGGCGACTGTCACCTCCTGCAATGAATCATGGAGCTCTTAAGGCCAGGGCATGTCCCGAATATCAAATACACTCATAAAAGGGAAACCTGTCCCAGATCCCAGGAGAAACATTTCCCCTCCTTTCAAATGTGCAACCACATAAGAGAAATATAAGAACAAAAAAAGAAGACACAGGTGTCCATGTCCTGGACTCTGCACTTTTTGTTCACGGATACCAATGAATGCTCATCAAAGTTATTTAAAAACACACTCAGTCAGTGAAAACCAAAAATAGTAGACCAGGCTAGATGGGAATGTGTGTGAGAATCCTTCTGTGTGTCAGCTGATGCAGAGGTCGCTGGCTGAGATCATTCAGAGCAAGTCCTGGGAGTGGGAAGAGGGACATATTTCTTACACAAGCCTCCTCTTTGTTGGTCCATTGACTTGTGATGGGGGCACCAAAGAGGAAATGAAGCCCTTTACACCATTTACAATACCTCCTGCTTTAAAAGATAACCATGTAAAATCCCCAAAAAGCTATGAATACATTTTTTCCTCAATGACAATTACCCCTTTATAAAATATCCAACCATATTTATTAAAGCGGTAGAAAATGAAAACATTTAATTGCTAGCATTGAGCATACAGTCATCACATAGAAATTGGTTCCCTTTCAATTTAGAAATGATGAGTGGTCATATTGCCACCTTCCATGTTGTATAAGGATTAGCACTAGGGATGGATCAATTAACTGGTCAGCATATTAGCGGTGCCGGTTACTTGCCATTCTAAGATAATTAATATCAGCTGCTGGTCATTTCAGGAGAGTTGAGGCTTTTAAATAAAATGAATGCTGACACATTTGCAGCGCTGGCAGCCCAGTCAGGTTTTCTGCCCAGAAGTAATGTTTTTACCTGCGGACGTGTATCTACATGACGTGTCAGTTAAAATAAGTGCTGACGGACATCACGATATATAAATTTAGGCAAACAGAAATAAAGAATCCAAACGTTCATGTACAGTTGAAACCAACAACTTCTTGTGTCGCTCAATCGTTGTTTTTTTAAGCCGTTGTTCGAACCAAAATTAGACAGAGGTCAAACAGTATGAAGAGTATGCTATAAAAACAAACAAAAAAAACACTGCGATTCCTCCATTCACAGGCACCTTCTTTGGTTTACTTTGACTTTCATTTAATTGAATTAATTTCTAACATTTCCACATTTAAGACCATGACAGGATCCCAAAACAAAAAAAAAGAAAAATATATCTGACTGTTTGGAGCTTGTAATGATTAAAAAAGCATTGTGTGTGACAATGATTTCACAAAAGTTCAAGAAAAGCTAAATCTTCCAGGAGATATGCAGAGGACATCAAGTGTGGAAGGAATCATGTCATTGTTTAAAAACAATGATCCTGGAGGACAGATTAGAAGGGATTTGCATATTTATCTCCCCATAGAGCATAACATCAATTGATTATTATTTGAGAGCGTAAAGGACAAGTGTATAACCCTAAACTGGACAAATGTAATTTGACAAGAGACGGCAAATGTTTGGAAAGAACAGCATTTACATTTTCAAATCTTGGGCAAAAAGAAAAGTTTATGCGATGCTGTGATGCATATGACATCAACCATTAAAGAGTGGAAATATGCATTGCGGTGAAAGAAAAAAATTTCTTTGTTGCAGAGTGCTCTAGACCATAAGGAGATGGCTCATTATCAGCAACAAGTCCAAAAAGCACGCCTTGTGATGATAGGGTTGTATCAGTGCCTTTGGCAAAGCTCATTAACACTTTCATGAAGGCAGCATTAATGTACAAAAGTACACAGAAATGGTGGAGTAACGTACTGCCTTCCAGACATCTTTTCAAGGCACGAGCATGCCTTTTTCAACCAAAAAAGTGATAAAAGAAGACGCAAAACCACATTCAACCTGATGTTGGCCTCCTGAATGAGCACAAATGACAATTTCTCCATTACGGCTTTGTGTCCCTGTCATACCCGGGCTAATGGACAGGAAATTCAGACAGTGTTTCCCTTTATCATCTCAACCATCTCTAATCACTGAAAGCTTTATTTTTGTGGCTTAAGTTTGGAGAATATTCAAGAAAGATGTTTATCAATATGTCAATGATCACCATCACCGTTATCCATGTAACAAACACAATGAAAATGGGATAGAAATATTAAAGGAGATAATACAGCCATAAGCACCAAATTGCATCTTGTAATCCTTTAAAGAAACTCTGTTGCCCAATATAACAACCATGAGTCGGAACAATTGGGCCTAAGGCTTGACCAAGCTAAGCAAATTAATTACAGCTCAATTATTTTAATCAAGACTGCGCAAACACAGTTAAGGGCAAACTCCTGTCGTCCCTCTGTCTTTCACCAGAAGTCCTGATTGATAATTGTCACATTTAAAGATCAGTGTTTTCCATGCATTATAAAACTGTGTAGCCAAGTAATGCAAAGATGTCCACCATGTTTGGCACTGACACAGCTGATATCCAAAAGCCTAATACCCCATTACTGTATTTCTGTTTGTACAAATGACTAGAATATGTCGAGTTGGAAATTTGAGTCAAGTTTGACATCTACAGCACACAATAAGATAAATAGTGGATGTCTTAAAAACACTGCTTCCACTGGACTGATTATAATCTTTTCTTTTCTTCTTTTTTTTGTTTGTTTTTTTTGTGTGTGAAGCATTTGCCAATTATCTGTAGCTATGGTGCCAAGTCTCCTGTCTCTAGGCTTTGGGATTAGAGCCCAGATATAATGGCTCCATGCATAATGGGTGGTAGGCTTTTGCTTTCGGAACACTAAACTACCGACTTCTCAGAAAAGAGAAGACTCTAGACTTTTTTTTATAAGGAGAAGAGAACATTATAAGATGAGAAAAATTCGAATTGAATTACTGTGTTTTTTTTCTTTTATTTTTACCAGAATCTTGCAGCTGCATTAAAAAAAGATCTCAGATCTGTCCCAATCTTTACTCTGTCCATTACCTGCTGGATATTGCAGACACAATAGAATACTTAA